TGGCGGATGGTCTTAGTAGACTATCTATGTGTAGTGCTGCTCATATTGAAGAGAAAAGAAAAAGTTGGTTCGAGATGTTCATAGATTGGCTCGATTAGGAATTCAACTAGTGGAATCCACCAAGGGTGGTGTTATGGTTCACAATGGTTCCGAATTGTCTTTTGTGGCGGATGTTAAAGCCAAGCAAGGTCTTGATCTAATTTTGGTTGAATTTAAAGAGGCAGTGCTCAAGAAATCCATTGAAGCTTTCTCCCAAGGTGGAGATGGTGTACTTATATACCAAGGTCGCTTATGTGTTCCAAATGTTGATGACTTGAGGTAGCAAATTTTGATAGAAGCCCACAGTTGGTGGTATTATATTCACCCGGTAGCCACCAAGATGTAACGTGATTATGTGAGGTCTATTGGTGGAATGGGATGAAGAAGGATATTGCGGGATTTGTGGCTAAGTGTCCAAATTTCAAACAAGTAAAGGTTGAGTATCAGAAACAGGGAGGTTTGTCCCAGATATTAATATTCCTACTTGGAAGTGGGAGGACTTGAATATGGACTTTATAGTTAGTTCACCTCGCACCCAGCGATAACATGATTCTATTTGGGTGATAGTAGATTGGTAGATGAAATTGGCTAATTTCCTTCCCGTCAAGGTTTCTTATTCGGAGGAGGACTATGTCAAGTTGTACTAGAGAGATATGGTAAGGTTGCATGGAGTGACCTTGTCCATTATTTCCGATTGTGGTACCCAATTAACTTCTCAGTTTTGGAAGACATTCCAAAAGGGTCTTGGCACTAAGGTTGAGCTTAGCATGAGTATTCATCCCCAAACCGATGGGCAAGAAAGCGTACTATCCAAACTTTGGAAGATATCTTAAGGGCTTGTGTGTTTGATTTTAAGGGAAATTGGGATGACCATTTGCCATTGATTGAGTTTCCTTACAATAACAACAGTTATCACTCAAGTCTAGATATAGCCCCATTTGGGGCCTTATATGGTAGGAGGTGTAGGTTTCCTATATGATGGTTTGAGGTTGGTGAATTTGCCCTAATAGGCCCCAAATTGGTACAATAAGCCATGGAAAAAGTTCGGCTTATAAGGGAAAGTTAGGAAACGGCTCAAAGTCGACAAAAGTTGTATGTCAATATGAGAAGAAGGGATCTAGAGTTTGACGTTAACGATTGGGTTTACTTGAAAATCTCACCCATGAAGGGTGTAATGAGGTTTGGTAAGAAGGGGAAGCTTAGTCCTTGGTAGGTAGGCCCAGATAAGATTTTGAGGCGTGTTGGCAAAGTTGCCTATGAGTTAGATTTTCCAAATGAGTTAGCAACATTGCATCCTGTTTTCCATGTCTATATGCTTAAGAAGTGTGTCGGAAATCCGACGTCCATAGTTCCCCTAGAAGGGTTGGGAGTTGATGAAAGTCTCTTTTATGAGGATGTTCCGGTTGAGATTTTGGACCGGAAAGTCAAGAAGTTGAGAAACAAGGAAATAGCTTATGTGGAAATGTTGGGGAGGATTCAGTTAGTTGAGGGTGCTACTTGGGAGGCCGAGGCTGATATGATGTCTCGATATCCTCACTCTTGCCTTCTACTCCTATTCTAGCTTGAGGTAATGAATTCCTGTTGGTTTGTCCTTGTTTTGGGAGTCATGTGTTTTTATGTATTTCCATGATTTCCTTATGTGATGCATGTTCATGTAAACTTGTCTTTTTAAAGAAAATGAGTTTACATGCTTGATTTTCCTCATGTTGTTGTGCATTGATTATGAGTTACCTATAGACTTCATGAGATGAATTGATCAACATGCTTTAGATATGCTTTTTGAGATTGAATTGCATATGAGCTCCATGAAATTGTGTTGAGCATGCTTTTAGCTTCGAGAAGGCAGTTCCTCTTTGAAAATCAGTAATTTTTACATTTCATGCATAGTGGGTTTCTAGATGTAGTTTTTACTCTCTTATTATGCTTTTGGGGTATGATTAGCTAGGAGTTAATGTTTCCTCCTTGTTTATGTGCATTGCATTCATAATGGGCTAATAGAGTTAGTTTCACCCCTCTTATAATGTTTCCAGAACGTCCTAGCTTGGAGTCGATAGTTCCTCCTTGGTTGCATGCATTGCACTGTAGGTTGGGTTGTTAGTTCCCCTCCTACTCTTTTAGAACCAGGTTAAATGTCATTCGAGGACCAATGATCCTATGGGGGAGATATTGTAACACCCTGAATCTGAAAGAGGGTGCCATAACAGATTTCAGCAGTTCCATGGACCATGGCTGGACCTACAGACCTTCGATTGCTCCACCGTCCATGGTCCATGAAACATAGGTCAGGCCAAAAGTATCTAACCACGGTCCACCAGGACAGGCTGTGGGTCAATCCACGGTCCGTCGACTGGGTCGGTTGGTAGGTCGGTGACAGTTGACAGTTACTTCAGGGGTAGTTGGGTCTTTTCCTAACTAATTATTTCATATACTATGTCGTTTTACCCTTCACTAAGACCCTGTATTAGCTTTTTCAATCCCCAAATTAACCCATTAACTTCATTCTTCCAAATTCACAAAGAAAACTAAATTCCCTTCCAAATATTTCTCTCTCTAGAAACTTGAAGAAGAGGAAGATTCATCCTAGGGTTTCACGTCAAGGTCTGAATTCCTCCATTGAAGGCTAGATTTTGAATTCAAGGTATGATAGTTTTAATCCATGGAGTTCCCAAATTCCTCTATTTCAAATGGTAGAATTCCCTAATTGAGTTAGAATTTTCTTCAATTATCATGTGTTCTTTGCATTATTGTTTTAAATGATTGAATTATGATCTCTTTTGGATGAATTGATGATACATGATGATTTTACCATGAACCCATGTAATCCCCATGTTTTCAAGTTATGAATCATATGATGTGGGATTTTGATCTTCAAGGAAGAATTTTATGAAATTAGGCATGTATTGCAAGCTTTGCATGTATTTATGATTAAATCCATATCTAACCCATGTTTTCTAGGAATTGATGATTGAAAGCGGGTTTTCAACCTCAAGAGGTAGTTTATGGACTGATGCATTGTTTTATGAAACATATGCAAATGTTTTAAGGGTGCTTTGAGAGTAAAGTACCAATTGATGATGTTGTGTTGTGAAAGGATATTCTCATTAAGCACATAACTAGCATGATGTGAAAGGTTTTCTCACATATAAAGGATTACTTGGATCGAAAGGCTTTCTCACCTAATTGAATCATAGAGTAAGAGTTATTCTAATGAACTAGCTTGGTCTGATTGTCCAAGGGCACCTTTCCATGATTAATGAAGTCAAGTAAGAAATGATTATTTCATGGGATTTATGCTTAGCACCGAGTGGATACTCATGATGAGTAGGAAGCTCTCCCGTTAGTAGAGGCCAGGTTATTAGAAGCAATCTCATGAGATGGAAGCTCCCCCGTTAGTAGAGGTTGGGTTTCTAATAGCAATATACTTATCCCTTAACTATGTGCCTCCATAGGTTGATTAGCTAGTGGATCCACTTAAGCCAGAAGTTCATGGTTCTACCTTGGCAAGTAGGACAACCCTTTTCAGTGTAGGAGACACGGAAGGAACATATTATTAGTCACATGGTTTCTCCTTCATTTAAGGCTAATTCCCCATAAGTAATAATGAACTAAGGTTACTTCAAGAAGTATCGCATATGAGTTCAAAGGTTTTAAAGATGAAGTTAGCTTGCATTGACCATGATTTTATGACTTATGTTTTATAACTTTTTTACATCATGTTCAGCTTGGTCAATTGCATGTCATGAAATTAAATATCCATTTTAGTATGATTTAAACATTTTATGCATGGCTATCATACTTGGTACATTGTTTTGTACTAATGCATACTCTTGCCTACATTTCTTTCCAAATGTAGGGTCTGATATTCAAGGTGCTCAGTTTCGTGGCAAGTGGATGATTTGATTTATTCTCGAGCTTTGATGAGTCCTCATGCTTCGAGGACGGACTTTATTGTTTTCACTCTCTTTCATGTATTTTATCTTTTGGACATGATTTATGGGCTAGCCCAGTTTCATTATATTGTATTAGATAGCTATGATGAGACAAGTGTATTAGACTTCCGCTTTGTTTGTATAAGAATTGTTTTGGACATGGACTATTGTTTTACTCTTATTGTTCTATTTCTTATGTTATGACAGCTAAGTGGCTTGTACGGAGTCCTTCAGGATTCTATATGCTACGTTACATCTAGGGGGTACCTCTGGGTTGTGAAAGTCCTACTATTAGCTGCTGGTGGTGATGGTTCATACCGTCTTAAGAAGCTTTTCAAATCAGAGACTTGGGTAAGCACTTGGTGTCCTGGATCTATATGTCTCCTTTTGTATATATGTTTAGCTAGTCTTTTGCCTTTGAGACGGCTTGTTGTGGTCTACTTTTGGAACTTGTATTTTTAGATTAGACAATTACGTACTTGTGAGTTCCAGGTTCTTGAAGGGATTCTCTTGTATATTGATTTTTGCTTGATTTCGATTCCGTCTTCTTTTATTTTCTAGTGTTAAGTATTTCTAGTCCTACCCATATACGCATTACTTGTTGTTATGGGTATTGTTTGGCTTCCTTACTGGTGGGTTATAGTGGGTGACATCATGACTTGAGGAATCATGTTGTGACTAGTTGGTATCAGAGTTAAGTTTACTGGTCTAACTTGTACAAATTAATCCCTAGTAGATTCCTATAGATCCGTGTGGAGACGTATGCATCCTATCTTTGGGAGGTTACAGGGTATCTTTAGGAATTTTCCCTTTTGTATCACGTTAGTATCACTTATTGCATTCTTTTCTCAAGATGGCCCATATGCTCAACACAGTGGCTCGGGGTAAGGGCCGACCTCTGATGCCAATGATGGGTGCAACATCACCCAGGATAGAGAAAGGGGCTTAGAGTGAGCAATGGACCCTCCAAGAGCTCAGGTTCCAGCTCAGCCGGTGAGGCCTGAACCAGCCTAGCCACCACCCGAACTGGCTATGGCTCCGGATCTTGAAGATGCTACTACTCAGCTTTTGTCGATGTTCAGAGACATGCAGCATGCCCCAACATCAGTTGCAGCTCTCTCGGTACCTTCACCAAGTTAGTAGGATCAGTCTCTAGTAAAGGCACCTCAAGCCCAGGTACCACTGCGTGTGTCTAGCCTGTGATCATGGTCGTATCTATGTTACTGGAAGATCAGAAGATGTTCGAAGAGTTACCTAGGTTTTCACCTCTGAGGTTTCTAGGGTTGTGGTTGAGGATGCCCACGAGTTGGTAACTACTTGTCGGGAGTTGCTTTATACATTGGTCTTTGTGGAGTTGAGAGGAGCCAACTTAACTATTTATCAACTAGATGGGCCAGCCAGATAGATAATGGTATACCTTCATATTGACTTGACAAGCTAGGTCTCCTCAGATTACTTCGACAAACTTTCTGAGGCTTTTTTGGCCAAGTTTATCCCTCGGAGCATTAGAGATCACCTCTAGGATCATTTCTCCAAGTAGGAGCAGGACTCCATGTTGGTTTCAAAGTATGAGGTAAGGTTCCACGAACTCTCTTGACATGGCTTTATGATTCTACCTACTGAGGAGGATAAAGTTTGATGTTTTATCTGTGGGTTAAGGCTTCAACTACATATTAAGAGTCAATATATGGTCTCTGTGGGTCGTTTCTTTATTGATGTTTTTAATCAAGCCTCCACTATTGAGCAACTCCATCATGATTCCCAAGAGGTAGTGACAAGAGAGCTTCACACAAGGGTATCTTCCAGAGTGGTATCTCACTGATGACAAGATTGTGCTTCATGTCGTGGTGGTCGTTCTTCTAGGAGTCCATCATTTCCATCTTGTTTTGATTGTGGAGAGTTGGATCACTTGGCTAGAGATTTCCCTTTGCATATGCGGATTTCTCTCACTACCTAGGTAGCTCCACCAACTCTACTAGTTGCTCCAGCAATACTACCAGTTATGTCAAGTTAAGGGTTAGATTTATCGTGGTGGACAACAGGGTATTCAGGGTGGTCCTCAGGGAGGTAGATCAGGTGGTAGGAAAGATTTCTAGGGCAGAGGTGGAAGGACATTTCTATGCAGCTCCTACGAGGGAAGACGCTGAAGCATCGGACGATGTGATCACAGGTACGATTCTCTTATGCTAAAAACTCATCTCAACTCTTTTGATTTGACCTCTACCTATTCTTATATGTATGTTTATTATGATTCTCATATGGGTTTGAATTCTAAGCTTATGGAAACACTATTGCATGTTTCAACACCTATGTGTGAGTCTTAAGTAATTGATTAAGTGTTTCAATCTTGCTTAGTTACTATCTAGTGGTGTGACACCCGGGCTAACCTTACATTCTTCATATACATTATTTTGATGAGATTTTGGGCATGGACCGGTAATCCCCGTATCATGCGATCTTAGATTGCTTCTCTAAGACCATTGCCTTATCCATGCCTAGTATTCCCCTAGTGGTGTGGCAGGGCTCCTTTAGTAGCACATCGATTGGGGTTATCTCTTTTTAAGGCTTAAAGATTAGTGGCTAACGGGTGTTTGTCATATTTTCCATATGGGCGTGATTGAGTAGGGAGGTCTGTCTAGCCAAGTCAATTCTAGTTGTCCGTGAGTTTGTAGATGTATTTCATATAGAGCTAAATTGCTTACCTAGAGCATGATATTGGTTTCCTTATTGATCTAGAGCTGGGTACTCGGCCTATTTGTATTCCGCCATAACATATGGCTCTTACAAAGCTCAAAGAGCTTAGTGTTCAACTTCAAGATCTCTTGGGTAAGGGGTTCATCAGTCCTAGTGTTTCACCTTAGGGTGTTCCCGTTCTTTTTATGAAGAAAAATGACACTACTATGTAAATATGTATCGACTATAGGCAGTTTAATACGGTGATCGTAAAGAACCATTACCCCATACCTAGGATTGATGATTTGTTTGATGAGCTTCAGGGTGCCACAATGTTTTTGAAGATGTTCTGGGGTAGGGTTATCATCAGTTGATGATTAGGGAAATTCCCTAAGACAACATTTAGGACTCGATATTGCACTACAGGTTCTTAAGGATGTCTTTTGGGTTAATACCCCTATCGTCTTTATGGACTTGATGAAACGAGTTCTTAGGTCGTATCTTTATTCAGTCATCATTGTGTTTATAGATGACATTCTAGTAAAGTCGTAAAGCATGAGTGTTCATAAGCAGCGTTTGAGGATTATACTCCAGACTTTGAGAGATCATCGGCCTTATGCCAAGTTCTTAAAGTCTTAGTTTTTGCTTGAGTCGTTAGCATTCTTGAGGAACATTGTTTCCATGAATTGCATCATGGTCGATCCGACAAAGATCTAGGCTATTCGTGACTAAGCTAGGTTTACTTAAATTACTAAATTTTGGAATTTCATTGGATTAGCGGGCTACTACTAACGCTTTGTGAAGGGCTTCTCTACTATTGCAACACCTCTTATCTGGTTGACTCACCTTGATGTTCCCTTTGAGTGGTTTGAGGAGTGTTAGTTATGGTTTTGGAAGTTTAAAGAGTTGATGACTAATTCTCCCATATTGATTTGCCAATTGAGGGCGAGACTTCACGGTGTATTGTGATGCATCTGGCATTTGTTTGGGTTGTGTATTTATGTAGCAGGGCTGGGTTCTTGCTAATGCGTCGAGGCAACTTAGGCTACAGGAGAACAACTACCCCACTCATGACTTGAAGTTAGTGGTGGTAGTTTTTCCGCTTAAGATCTAGAGGCGCTACCTGTACGGAGTTCATTGTGAGATCTACACTTATCAGAGGAGTCTTCAATATATTATGATCTAGAGAGACCTTAATTTGAGGCACCGTTATTGGATTGACCTTCTGAAGGACTATGACCTCTCTATCCTCTACCATCCTGGAGAGAATCCTCTACCATCCTGGAAAGATGAATATGGTAGCGGACAACTTGAGCAGGAAGGCAATGAGTATGGGTAGTCTAACCTTCCTATCTACTATGGAGCAACTTTTAGCTTAAAACACTCAATTCTTAGATAATCTTATAATTTAATTGGATGTTTCAGATTCTAGGTGTATCTTAGCCTATTTGGGAGTTTAGTCTTCTTTGCTTCATTGAATTCATAGTTGTCAGTTTGTTCATGAGGACTTGTTGGCAGATCGAGATTAGGTGTTAGTGGGTCGGTCAGGCTTCCTTAGATTTATATGGGGTACTGAATTTTATTGGTCTCATTTGTGTTTTGAGGATTGGGGGTTTGATCCATGTGATACATCCCGAGGCCTATGATTTTGGATACTCTATCTGTCCAGGCACCATGAAGATGTATATTTATTTAAGGCAGCATTATTGGTGGAGCGGCATTAGGATAGATATCACAGATTGTGTGTCCCGTTGAATGAGTTTCTAGTACGTCAAGGCCAAGCATTTGAGACCTAGTGGTGTGTTTCAGAGATTACCCATTCAAAAGTTGAAGTGGGATTGCATCATTATGGACTTTGTATTAGGTTTGCCTCAGACCTCTACAGGTTTTGATAGCATAGGGGTTATCTTTGATCGATTGACCAAGTTAACATAGTTCCTCCTTGTTCAGTCTTCTTTCAGCACCAAGAGGTTGGCCCATCTCTACATTCTAGAGATTGTCCGTGTTGATGGTGTGCTTGTCTTTATTATATATGATCGGGATGCTAAGTTCACTTCTAACTTTTAAAGAACCTTTCAAGAGGAATTAGGCACTCGCATTGATCTTAGAACAACTTTCCACCCATAAACTGATGGTTAATTAGAGCATACTATTGATAAGTGGTAGATTTACACTCATCTGAGGCCTATTAAGCTCAACAATTAGTGTCCTGGATGCCTCATTATGTCCTATTTTAATGATATTTTGATCAATTGTAGCTATGAAGGCTAAAGGACAAGGCAAGGATGAATGGGTGAAAGAATGGCCAAACATGAAAACAAGTGTAAACTCTAGATTTTGTGATCACCTATTGCAAAGGGCGGATCACCTAATAGGTAGGATCACCAGAATTGATGGTGCAATAATGTAACACCCTGTATCCAAAAATAGACCAAACAACAGATTTTCAGAGGTTGCAGGTGCCACCGACGGGTAACACATATGGACCGTATGGTGAGCCACGGACCGAAGGTGGTGTCCATGGTTAGCCACCCCAACTCCACTAAAAAAAACCCAGATAACCCCGACCAACAGCTAGGACCTACGGACTGTAGGTGGGACCACAGCCTGTGGTCCAGGTCTGTGGATCATGGTCCGCAGCCCCCACCCCAGACGCCAGATGATACCTTCCAGGACGGACCGTGGGTCAGGCCCATCGTTGGCCCCGACAAATTTTAAGCTAGGGAAGTTTTAGTCTTTTTCCCTATGTGTTAGCAACCTAAATTACATTTTTTAACCCCTAAACTATGTAGTTTTGGTCAGTTTAAGCCTAGTAACTTAGTCACATCCTTCCTTAATTGATCATTCTCCAAAAAATCATCAAACTTAGAACGAAGAGAGGAGAAAGAGTCGACCAAGTCCTTCAAGAATGCTGCTAGGTTTCAACAATTCCAGCTCAAAAATTAAAAGATTTCTCTGGTCGAAAGGGTAATCGTCAGAATTCCAGCTCAGTCAAATTTTTCTTATATTGAACCATTTCTATATCATATATGTGTATGTGTAAATACCGGTACCATATAGATATTTTATATGGATATATGGATTTGTTTGGTTCTTTTTTATTCTTGCTCGAGCTGGATGATTCAAAATTAATCATGTCCAGTTCCCTCGGGGGATGGATCTATAAGAATTCACCTATCCCAATAAACAAAAAAACCTGACTTGAATGATCCTGTATTTAAGAGCTAAATTGGCTAAGGGTATGGGTCATAATTTTTTTAGCGAACCCGCATGGCCCAATGATCTTTTATATATTTTCCAGTAATAATTCTAGGTACTATTGCATGTAATGTAGGCTTAGCCATTTTAGAACCATCAATGATTGGTGAACCTGCAGATCCATTTGCAACCCCTTCGGAAATCTTACCTGAATGGTATTTCTTTCCTGTATTTCAAATACTTCGTACAGTGCCCAATAAATTATTGGGGGTTCTTTTAATGGTTTCAGTACCTGCGGGATTATTAACAGTACCTTTTTTAGAGAATGTTAATAAATTCCAAAATCCATTTCGCCGTCCAGTAGCGATGACTGCTTTTTTGATTGGTACTGCAGTCGCCCTTTGGTTGGGCATTGGTTCAACATTACCTATTGATAAATCCCTAACTTTAGGTCTTTTTTAAAAAAATTAATTGATTCAATTGTGAACTAACATGACATGTGTATCTAGGGAATAGTTTCTTCAAAGCGAATTCTCCCTAGATACATCTATTCAATTTAATTATGAATTTCTTTCTAATATATGATATATTAATTGTGCTAAATTGTGCTTTTTCAATCTATTTTCACTTTTCACTAAGTAAGTCCAATAGATTTAAAACTTATTTTTTGCTAAATCAATTACGAAATATTTTTCTAAAATGCCCAATATCTGTTTTATATCTTCGCTACGAAAATGTTCAATTTTCATAAGATCTTCTTGGCTGTTATTCAAAAGGTCCAATAATGTATATATATTGGACATTTTGAGGCAATTATAGATCCTGGAAGACAATTCTGATTGGTCAATAAAAATCGATTTCAATGCTATTTTTTTTTTGTTTTTTATGAGTTTAGCCAATTTATCATGAAAGGTAAAAGGGGATAAAGGAACCGTGTGTTGATTGTCCTGTAAATATAAGTTGTCTTCCTCCATATGTAAAAAGGGAATAAATAATTCAATTAAATTTCGGGCTGCGTTATGAAGTGCTTCTTCCGGAGTTAAACTTCCATTTGTCCATATTTCGATAAAAAGTATCTCTTGTTTTTCATTCCCATTCCCATAAGAATGAATACTATGATTCGCGTTTCGAACAGGCATAAATACAACATCTACAGGATAACTTCCATTTTGAAAGTTATGCGTCGTTTTTATAAGATATCCACGATTTCTCTCTATTTGTAATCCAATACAAAAATCATTTCGTTCTGTTAAACTAGCTATATGTTGTGTATTATCAACGATTTCCATATAAGGTGGCAAGATGATATCTTGAGCAGTTACATATCCAGGACCCTTGACAGAAATAGACGCTTCAGAAGTTCCATATAAATTACTTCTCAATACAATCTCTTTCAAATTCATTAAAATTTCATGTACCGATTCTTGAATGCCAGTTATGGTAGAATATTCATGTGGTACTTTCTCAGATTTTACACGTGTGATACATGTTCCATCTATTTCCCCACGTAAAGCTTTTCGCATTGCAATGCCTACTGTGTCGTCTTGGCCTTTAATAAATGGAGACAAAAAAAGGTCCATAATAAAGGCGTTTACTGTCTGTTCTTGATTCAACACACTTCCATTGTAGTGTCCGAGTAGATACTGTTACTTTCTCTCGAACGATAGTACTATTATTTGATTAGATCATCGAATCTTTTCTTTCTCTTGAGATTTCTTCAATGTTCAGTTCTACACACGTCTTTTTTCGGAGGTCTACAACTATTATGTGGCGTCGGAGTTACATCCTGTATGAAAGTTAATAGTATACCACTACGAGGAATAGCTCATAATGCTGCATCTCTTCTGAGACCAAAACCTTTTATCATGACTTCTGCTCATTGCATACCTTGATCCACTACTGTAAGGATAGCGTTTGCTGCTGCGGTTTGAGCAGCAAATGGTGTTCCTCTTCTCGTACCTTTGAATCTAGAATCACCAGCTGAGGACCAAGAAACTACTCAACCCCGTACATCTGTAACAGTGACAATGGTATTATTGAAACTTGCTTGAACATGAATAACTCCCTTTGGTATTTTACATGCATACCTTACGTGAACTAATTTATGGTATAGCTTTTGCCATATTTTATCATCTCGTAAATATGAGTCAGAGATATATGGATATATCCATTTCATGTCAAAACATATTCTTTATTTGTACATTGGCTCTTCTGGAAAGTCTGATTAGCCCTGTCTTTGTTTATGTCTCGGGTTGGAACAAATTACTATAATGCGCCCCCTCCTACGGATTAGTCAACATTTTCCACAAATTTTACGAACGGAAGCTCTTATTTTCATATTTCTCATTCCTTACCTTAATTCCGAATCTATTTCTTGGAAGAAAATAAGTTTCTTGAAATTTTTCACCTCCAATTGTATTCCCACGAAAAGAATGGTGAAGTTGAAAACCTAATCCTTCAAATCTTTGTCGTGGAGTCGATAAATTATATGCCCTTTGGTTGACTCATAAGGACTTACTTCAATTTTGACTCTATTTACTGGCAGTATCTGTATAAAACAAAGTTCCTTTGAGGTATCAACTAATGTGAAAGATATTAGACAACTCTCCCCCCTTTTTTTCTTTTTCGCAAATAGGAAGTTTCGAATCCAATTTGCATATTATAAAGGATTACCAGATATAACACAAAATTTCTCCACCTATTCCATCTAGTCGCGCCTCTCGGTCTGTCATTATACCTCGAGAAGTAGAAAGAATTACAATCCCCATTGCACCTAAAATTCTCGGAATTCGTTGATAATTAGAATAGATTCGTAGATAGGTCGACTGATTCGTTTTAAATTTAAAATATTTCTATAGGGTGTTTTCCTATTCCTTCTATGTCGTAGGGTTAAAACCAAAAAATATTTGTTGTTTTCTCGATGTCTTCTCACGTTTTCGATAAAACCCTCTCGTAAAAGTATTTGAACAATATTTTCGGTATTATTAGTAGATGATATTCGAACCACCCTTTTTCGATCCATATCAACATTTCGTATAGAAGTTACCCCACAAACCTCAAAACCAAACTTCTATTCTATACCCCTTACAATTCCTCATCTAACCAACTTATTTTAATAATAGTTAGGATACATACTTAAAAATTAAATTATAATAATATTTAGTGTCAAGGACTATTTTCCTTCGAATAGTAACCTAATTTCCACAATTGAAATTCTTACCTGAGATGGAAATGACGCTCTTCGCCGTTTACAGACACGTCTTCTCCATAATTAATTATTTCTAAATTAATTATGAACCAAAAAATTCTAAATTTTATTATTTTTATTTCTATAGATGGTCCAAGTTTTAAAGGGCATTAATTAAATTTCAGACTTGACCCATTTACAATAAACTAAGAATTAATTATTTAATAAATACACAAAACTATATAATTGTAGTTAAGAAAATTGCTAAACATTCTCATTTAAAATTTATGGAAAGGGTCGAAATAATTCTAGTACTCAAAATGATCTAATGGGTCATTACAATAGTGTAGATCAGTGGGGTGGTTTCAGGATTTGTTATTATTTTTTTTATAAAATGATATATATAAAATATAATAATTAAATTATTATCTAACTATTTTGAACAAATAAAAATATAGAAAATTTAAATAGCTAAAACTAAGAATATAATTAAGAGAATACTAACTTGTTTATAAAACCGAAGTTAAAAAATATATTTTTTGTGAAGTTTCTTTTCTTTCTTATAACAAATAAAATTTACCCTAAAATGTCATTCAATTTTGTTGCTTTCAAATCTTTTAAAATAAACTTAATAAAATAAGATAAAAATCACAATATTTAATTTAAGCTTTTTAATTAAAATATTTAAGCGTATGTTTGGTGAAAAATTACGTGTCTACAATATTGGATGTGAAGGCTAAGCAAGATCTTGTTCGAGTTATGGTTGATTTGAAGAAGTCATTTTCTAGAAAAGCCATTGAGGCTTTCTCCAAGGAGGAGATAGTGTCATTCGTTACCAAGGTCGGTTATGTGTTCCGAATATTGATGAGTTAAGGAATCAGATTTTGATATAGGCTCATAATTACTGATATTCTATTCACCCGGGAGCCACCAAGGTTTACCTTAATTTACGAGAAATCTATTGGTGGAATGATATGAAGAAAGGTTTGCTCTATTTCTTTATATCCCCATGAATCATATGTTTGTAACAATACGGACAAATTTTTTTCAATTCAAATCGATTAGCCGTATTGTGCTGATTCTTTTGAATAATATATCTGGAAATACCTCTTGATACCTTATCAACACTAATTTGGACACACTTAGTACATACGAAAATCACCGTTACTCGGACATCTTTCCCCTTGGCCTTTATTTTGTCCTTTATTGTATTGTCCTAAATTTTGCAATAAAAAAAGTTTTCAAAACTTTTTTTTTTATAAAAAAAACAACAGATATGAATCCTCTATTCCAATTGTTCCTTTTTGATAGGAATCAAGAAGAAATAAGAAATATTTCAATGCGATTCGATTTCATACTAATGTTGTAGTATATGAACTATTCCAATTTCGGCCAAGTTACAAATTATAAGAACTCGAGAAATTTTGATTGAATCATGATACAAATTAGAAAGAATTTGTTTGAACAAGAGGAGAAAAAAAGAGGAGATAGAATCCAATTCTTTTAGATACTTTATCTAAGAAACTCTACCCATCTATGTTATAGATGGGGTATATCTCGCCAAACTGGATAAAACTATTATTCTAACCTAGATATCCAATCACGATATTATATATAAGAAGAAAAAAATATCTTTCTTGATCAATCCCTTTATCCCTCATTCTTCATGAATAAGGAAGATCCTTTTCAAGTTTGAATTTGTTCATTTGAAATCTGGGTTCTTCTACTTCATATTTTAGAAAGGGGCAGGAGTATCTGTACTTGAATAACTATAAGAGAACCCTTCTAGATGTTTCGACGCTTGATTATCGAATAGGATTGAATGTAAGATGAATGCTTGGTTTACGTTATGGAAGAAAGTCATGTATATGTGATAATGGATATGGCTTGGTGCGAATAATTGAAGGAAAGATATTAAGATGATAAAAAAATGACTGGCAAAGGATAAATTGGCTAGTTCCCAGTATTTAATTTTGAAATCCAATTGTTGGTCATTAAAGAATTCAAAAGAAAGAATTTCAAATTTACAAGATACGATCTATGTGGATCTAAACTGTCAAAACGGCTCGAATGGTACGATCTCTCCATCACCCCAGAATGAAAGGAGTGATCTCGTAGTTCTTGGTCTCTTCAACAAGCACGCGGTCAGAGCCCTGGCTCCTCCCACTGCTTGGGAGCTTACGGTTTCATGGGGCTTCGTATAGTTATACAAAGACTCAGTGGCTAAGAAGTAAAAATGATATATCGAAGTTTTTTTGATGATTCAATAATCTTA